GATGATGCTGGCAATGACTGATGTGACATAGCCCATGAGGTCATTTCCCAACCTCAGTATTTTACAGATCTGGACCCCAAAGCACAAGTTAAGTGATACGCGAGGATCATAAGGACAGCAGGGAACTACAGCTCCTCTAGCATTAATTCCAGTGCCTTTCGAATAACATGAAGCCCTGTGGTTGAAAGCATGAGCTCTGAAATCAGGCGAGTGAGTTTGAATCCCCATTTCATCTTCTACTTGCCGAATCTCTTTGAGTGGATTCTTCATCTACAGAATGGCAATAATAACTACTCACAGAGTTGGTGTGAAGATAAAATGAACTACTAATGTATGTAAAGTTTATCACTGTCTGGCACACAGCAAATAGTCAATAAAAGGTGGATTTTTTTTTTCTATCTTAGATCTTATTTAGTAGATGTCTCCCTGGTTTTCTGTCCCCAGCACAGATTCCTTAGGATGCCCAAATTAATTCTTTCCTACCTGCTTACTTACTACTTTTATCAATATATAAAGTTCAGAAGTCTTCAGTAAACTCCAGATCTGTACACTGAAACTGCCTATGCAACATCTACAACTGGATGTCTGAAAAGAATCTCAATTTTTTTTTAATGTTTTTTTAAATTTATTTCTGAGAGAGTGAGAGAGAGAGAGAGAGAGAGGGAGAAGAATCTCAATCTTAACATGACACCTGATGATGATGATGATCCTGATATCTCCTCCCAACTTCCCCCAAGGGGGATACAACTTTCCCAGTCTCAGTTAATGGCAACTCCATTTTACAAGTGTTTAAGATAAAAGGCTTGAAGTCACTCTTGACTTTTTTTCTGTCTCCCAAATACTCTCAGCACATCCCGTTTGCTCTTTTAAAATATATTTATTTCTTTAAAAATTTTTTTAATGTTTATTTATTTTTGAGAGAGAGAGAGAGAGACAGAGCACGAGCAGGGGAGGGACAGAGAGAGGGAGACACAGAATCTGAAGCAGCTCTAGGCTCTGAGCTGTCAGCACAGAGCCCGATGCAGGACTCAAATTCACTAACTGTGAGATCATGATCTGAGCTGAAGTCAAAAGCTTAACCGACAGAGCCACCCAGGCACCCCTCGTTTGCTCTATCTTTAAAATATATCTTGACTAGAACAACTTCTCTCTACCTCCACTGCTACCATTCTGGCCTATAATGGTTATTTTATGTGTCAACTTGGCTGAGCAATGGTACTCAGATATTTGGTCAAACATTATTCAGGATATTTCTGTGAAGGTGTTTTTGGGTGAGATTAACATTTAAATCAGTGGACTCTGAGTAAAGGAGAATACCCTCCACAGTGTGGGTGAGCCACATCCAATTAGATGGAGGCTTCAATAGCAAAATGACTGGCCTCTTCCAAGAAAGAGGGAATTCTGCCAGCAGAATGCCCTTGGACTCCAGCTCTAACTCTTCCCTGAGTCTGTAGCTTGCTGAACTACTCCAACAAATGTTGAACTCATCAAGCATCTACACTGTATGAGATGATTCCTTAAAAATAAATCTTTACATATATACATCATGTTGGTTTTGTTTCTCTGTATAATACATGGTCCAAACCATCATTTACTCTCATCCAGATGACTCTAATAATCTTCTAGTTGGTTTTCTGCCCTCACTCTTATGTTGGTTCTCACTCTAAAGCCTGTTCTTGCCCAGTAGCCAGAGTGATCCTATTAAATCCAGCTCAGATCTTATCAGAGCCCTTCAACGGTTTCCTGACCTTACTCAAGCAAAAACCCGAACTCTTTACAGTGACCTAAAATGCTGTACATGATTTTTCCACCTCCCACCACCTTTCTTTGTCTTCTATTATCCTTTTCCCATATCCACTCCTCACTATTACTTGAACAAACCAGGTATGCCTCAACCTCAGGGCCTTTGTACTTCCTAATCTCTCTGCCTAGAATATTCTTTCCCCACATATCCATATAGCTTGTTCTCTTTCTTTCTTTAACTCTTTACTCAAAAATCATCTCAGTGAGATCTTTTCTGTCATACTAAGTATAACTTCTATCTCTTCACTCTTTTGTCTTCTTTCTCTTCTCTGGGTTTCTTCCCCCTTAGTACTACTCAATCTCACAGACTGTATGTTTTACTTATTTATCTTGTTTCCTGTTTCTTATCACCTCCCCAGAAATGTAAGCTCACTGAAGGCAGGGAATTTTATCTGTTTGGTTCACTGATTTAAGACAGTTGTTTTAGATTTTAGAACGAGCCTGGTACATTGTAAATATTCAATACACTTTTTTTCCCCCTTCTGTCAAGTTTTCATTTATATTCCAGTTAGTTAACATACTCAATATACACTTAAGTGAAAGGAAAAAACCTCAAAAGCCTTTAGTTGTACTCCACTGCCTTTCGATTCTCTATCATAGGGCTCCTATTTCCTCTTTTTCTGATCTCACATCTGTTGCGTTGCTATTCATTCAGGCTCAACGACTCATCACTTTTAACTTGTAGCCTGAAGGTCTACACTGATATCTGAAATTCTCAGTTCAGTCAAGTCTGCCAAGTTGTTATTACCATCCTCCTGGACAGGTTGAATTCTTTATTCTTTTAGAACAAAAACTTCCTAAACCTAATGATAGCAAGTGAAGAATGATACCAACTTACATTCAGAAACAATTTTCTATTCTTCTGAGTATCAAACTTACCTCCTATACACACTGTAAATACACTGAATACTGAGTCTTATATAAATTATTTGTACTATTTATGAAGAGATTGCTTATTGTTCTTTTTCCACATCAAGTATGTATTTTATAAACTGTATAATGGAATAACCTATCTGATTAGTATGGTTAGTGGAATACACAGTCCGATATCAAGTGCTACTTGTATAGGACTGTAGTGGAAATGAAGCAAAAATGTATGTGTTAAAACATAGGTCTTTAGGTTTAAAAAAGTGGCTAAAAAACAGGTTTAAAATATATTATCAGATTAGAGCAACTGAAGGTAAATAAAAAGAAGACTGAAATAGTAAAACTGATGGGTAGACATTACATGTATGTATTTTAGAAGTTGGTCTTTTAGATGACACAATTGGAAAGATAGTCCATGTTCATAGATTAGAAAAACAAATATTGTTAAAATGTCTATACTACCCAAAGCAATCTACAATTTTAATTCAATCCCTATTAAAATACCAATAGCATTTTCTTATAGGACTAGGACTAGAACAAACAACTCTAAAATTTGTACAGAACCACAAAAGCCCCCAAATAGCCAAAGCCATCCTGAAAAAGAGGAACAAAACTGGAGTATCACAATCCTAGATTTCAAGATGTACTACAAAGCTGCAGTAATCAAAATATATGGTACTGGCACAAAAATAGACAGATAGATCAATGGAACAGAATAGAGGGCCCAGAGATAAACATATAATTGCATGGTCAAATCATCTTTGGCAAAGGAGGCAAGAAAATCCAACGGAAAAAAGGCAGTCTCTTCAACAAATGGTGTTGGGAAAGTGGACACCTACATGCAAAAGAATTAAACAGGACCACATTCTTATACCATACACACAAAAAAATCAAGATAGATTAAGAACCTAAATGCACGACCTGAAACTATGAAACTCCTAGAGGAGAGCACAGGCAGTAATTTCTCTGACCTCAACCACAGCAATGTTTTTTCAGATATGTCTCCTGGGGCAAGGGAAACAAAGGCAAAAATAAACTACTGAACTACACAAAAATAAAAAGCTTTGGCACAGCAAAGGAAACAATCAACAAAACTAAAGGATAATGTACTGAATAGGAGAAGATATTTGCAAATGACATATCCAATAAAGGGTTAGTATTTATAATATATAAAAAGCTGAAATAACTCAACACCCAAAAAACAAACGACCCAATTAAAAAATGGGCAGAAGACACAGACATTTCTCCAAAGAAGATACAGACAGATGGCCAACAGACACATGAAAAGATGCTCAACATCACTCATCATCAGAGAAATGCAAATTAAAACCACAATTATCACCTCACACCAGTCAGAAAGGCTAAAATCAACAACACAGGAAACAAGTGTTGGTGAGGATGAGGAAAAAAAGGAACGCTTGTGTACTGTTGGTGGGAATGCAAATGGTGCAGCCACTGTGGAAAACAGCATGGAGGCTGCTGAAAAAATTAAAACTAGAACTACCATATGATCCAGCAATTCCACTACTTGGTATTTACCCCCAAAATTCAAAAAGACTATTTTGAAACAATGTAGGCATGCTTATGTTTACTGCACCACTATTTACAATAGCCAAATTATGGAAGCATGTCCACTGATAGATGAATGGATAAAGAAGATGTGGTATCAATATACACAAAATGGAATATTATCCAGCCATAAAAAAGGAACAGACTCTTGCCATTTTCAACAACATGAATCAATCTGGAGAGTATAATAAGAGAAGTCAGAGAAAGACAAATGCCATATGATTTCACTTATATGTAGAACTTAAGAAACAAAACAAAGAAAAAAACAGACCAAAAAGTCCCCCAGATTATTAACTATAGAGAACAAACTGATGGCTACCAGAGGGGACGTGGGTGGAAGGAATGGGTGAAATAGGCGATGGGGATTAAAACTGCACTTATCATGATAAGCAATAAATAATGTATAGAATTGTTGAATCACATTGTACACCTGAATCTGATATAATACCCTATGTTAATTACATGGGAATTAAAACAAAAGCTTTTTAATTGAGCCAAATTTCGATTACTGAAGTTAGTATTAGTTTGAATTGCATCAATATGGTTAATAATTACTGTGTTCATTTATCTTGCTATGATTTGTTCATTTATTCATTCATGAAACACTGATTATCACCTAGGAACCAGACAAGAGCTATAAAAATATTTAAAAACTGGGCCTTCCTTGTGATAAGAAGATATATAAAAAAAAAGATTTAATGGAATGCGATAAATACTGTGATAAAGTATGAACAAAGTTCAGAGAAAGTATAACTACTTACATTAAAAAGTTGTTTTTTAGCATATGTTCCAATTTGTCCTTGGTAAGAAAAAAGAAAAAAATTATTAAATGCAATTATATTCATTATATGTAATTAATATATTTAAAGAGATGTATTGTACTTTATCCACAAAACTAATTACCTTTTGGCCAGGAGCTATGAATTTGTGACAGAGTTCCACATCTTCAGGACAAATGGAAAGAACTGTCATTGTTGCAGTCTTGAAGAGCCCCTCCATAACCTAAGAGAAACAACATGGAATTGCCTGACACGTCGTCTACTTTATATGAAACACCTGTTTAGGGTCCAGGCTGCTCTCCAGGTTTTAGTGGCTATCAATCCATTCGGTCTCTTACTTACTAATGTACTATACCAAGTTAGTTCAGTTTTCCAGACTGCTTTGGGGAGGCAGTGCAATTTCTTCCCGGAGTGGGAAAAAAAAAAAAAAGAAAGAAAACCATATGACTCTTCCGTTCATCGTTTAATACTTAGTATTGAAGCAGGAAGTCAAATGAACAGCCAAAACTGACATCTCTCTAAAATGCACTGTAGAATCAGGACAATGATGCTACCTAGATCACAGGATTGTTGTGATAATTAAATAAAATAATCCATGTATAAGACTTAGCTTTAGTACAGGACTCAGAGAAGCATACAACAAACATTAGTTGCTGTGAAGGGTGAGACACTTTAAAAAGTGCTTCGTTCAGTCACTGGTAAATCAAAGTGGACTTTAAAGTTAGAGGAGCAATAAGATATACCTATAAAGATTTTATATACAGAGAGATAAATCTATGTAGATTGCTTGGCTAAAGCATACAGTAAAAAGAACACAAATCATGATACAACACAAATCAGTATGTAAGAATTCATTCCACTAGGAGTATCCATAGACATCTCACAGAAAAAACTTGTTAGAAGGAAAAAAAGTGGAATGGAAGATATTTCTAATCAAAACTAAAACTTCTGGTTTGAAGTCAGTGAGATCACATTAGGCTTTCCAAATGCTGTACTCAGAAAAACGCAGACATCGATTAAGTACAGGCTGCCTCAGAGTCCAGGATCTTCCCTTCCTCTCTTGCATTCCTGGTGCACCCTATCTGGGTACCCACAGGGTGGGGCACAAGCATCTACTCAATTAACTTAATATGATCAGATACAGGAAAGTGCTTAATTACCAACGGACAGATACATTTATTTATATACATATCTTTTATATTTGTTATTTATGTATTTTGTGTGTGGTTTTTTTGTTGTTGTTGTTTTGTTTTTGGTGTAGTGTAAGGAAAAACCTGATGAAAGAAGAGCAAAAGGAGGCTAAACATCTTTTAGCTTGAGACTATATTACCTTCAATCTAGCAGTGAGATAAAGAAATCACTAAGTAACTGAATGATTTATGAAGGGTCATATACCTCAATCACTAACAAAAGCTGACACATATGGGGTGCACACAAAAACAGGCTGATTGGATACTAAGTCTGCACTAGTGAGGGGCACAATACACCTGTCTGTAAGATGAAGACTTTGATCACTGGGGTTGTTTAACTGGTGTCTTTCACATGAGCAGTAAATTTCCATTTGAAGAAGAAAATCATTGGCTTCTCTAACCTTGACTTTCAGACTATGCTCTATAAATATATTTGAAGAAAACAGAAACTTAACCGAAGGGTTAGCATAACTTTCAGATGTTTTTAAAATTATATTACTCAATGGCACAAAAACAGTAATATTTATTTGTTTATACTTCCTGAGGGGAAAATCTTTGTTATTCTGATTTAATATTTTCATCAAGATAATAATTTCCACAGAATGTAATTTATAAAAGGGAGAAAGAGAAGCAGAAGATTAATTTTGGGGGGAGCATATCTTTCTTCTGTCTTTAAGAAAAAACTTGCATTTCAATTAATTAAAAATCACTCAACAGTGTGTGCTGAATACCACTCAGTGAAGGACCAAGTAAGAATTATTTAGTTGTAGAATATATAATTATAGAGCAAAGAGTATCATGTTTAGTAAATTCTTTTTGTTTTTTATTTATTTTTTTAATGTTTATTCATTTTTTGAGAGATAGAGAGAGACAGAATGTGAGCAGGGGAAGGGCAGAGAGAGAGACACACACACAGAATCCGATGCAGGCTCAGGCTCTGAGCTGTCAGCATAGAGCCCAATGTGGGGCTCAAACTCATGAATCATGAGATAATGACTTGTGCCGAAGTCGGATGCTTAACTGACTGAGCCACCCAGGTGCCCCTGATAAATTCTAACCTAATTTATGTCTTTGGAACTTTCCTCTGATATCTGTGTTTGGGCAGTAGAGACAGAGTCAAGGCAAAAACAAGGAGTAAAGTGTGTGGTTCCCTCGCTTACAATACTTTTCATTACCTAAAACAAAAGAGTGATACAGAATAGGGTGGTGTGCTCAGATTGAAAGCTGCTTAAGGAATTTTACTGACTCCTTGTGAGCCTCACATCCTGAATCCCTACAATTTAAAGAGTTACTGGACAGTGTTACTCTTGCCATTTTTGGCCAGATAATTCTTTGTTGAGGGGAGGGACCCATACTTTTAGCATGCTGAATAGCATCCCTAGCTTTTACCCACCTAGATGCCAGGAGCAACCACTCTCCCCTTTCTTCCATCCACTTCTAGGAGAGACAACCAAAAATGTCCCTGGGGAACATTGATCTGAGAACAATCAGTGGGAGATGCTAAAGGAGTATGTAAGTGGATACTGTTACATATGGTCAAAACACCCCTCAGGACCAAGAGTTTTTTTTTTTTTTTTTTAATCCACTGGTACTATTAACTGCTGAGGTCTCATTGTTGAATTCCTCTTCAGGAACTGGCCAGGTCAAGAGTGCTATCTTATCCAAGAGTAGGTCTCTTTCCAAGACTAATCCATGTCAGGTAACAGCTTGACAGGGAAAGAACAAAGGCCCACCACCACCTTGTCTTCCTATGGGACAACTATGAAGGACCATTCCAGCTCCGAAGTTCCGCGAAGAATTAGCTAAGGTCTCTGTAAATGCATTGTAGTTTAACTTTTCCCTCTGCCCAATACAGCTTTCTTCCTTTCCATACAGATACTCTTCTCCAGAGCATTCCCCAGTAACCCCCTCAACCCCTCAAATCTGCTTTAGAGTTTGTTTACTAGGAAATCCAACCAGGACAGGATAATAAAATAGTAAGTCCATTCTATTTGATGATATGTGTGGTACTTATGTTTTAAGTGGAATTGGGTCAGAGAGATATAAAATGAATAAACATTCTGTAATTACAAATCCAAACTAAGATATTAGTGGTACTGGAGAGACAATTCATAATAACAACAGTTAATAATTTCTGGGTACAAAGTACCATGACCTATTTATTCTATGTGCCTTATATATATTATTTGTGTAATCCTCTGAACTACTGCATAAAAGAAGAACTATAACTCTCATTTTACAGATGAGGAAACTCAGGCTCAGAGAATTAAATCCTTTGTCTAAGGTCACATAGCAAGTTAAGTGGTGGAGCTAAAAATCAATTCCTGGTTCATCCAACTTCAGAGCTTATGTGCTCTATCTAGATTATGGTCATAGCCTCCCAAAGGGGCTCCCACCCCCATGTTTATCTTTTTCTAAATAATTCTTTATATTGTTACTAAAGAGATGTTTCTAAACTATGACTGATCGTGACTTTTCCCAATTGAGAACTTTCTCCTTTATCTTCTTGATTAAGGTAAAACTACTTAGCATGGCATTTACAAGGTCTTTCTTTCATGATCTGACTTTTCACCCTCTCTGTGGCCTTACCTCTTGTCCCTCCCCTCCCCAAATAGAGCTCTGATGGTTCCTGTACATGCTTGCCAATACAGCTATATAGATGTTTCTCTAACTAGAAGGATGTTTTATTTATTTGCCTAACAAATAATGAGAGCTACTATTTACTGAGCCTGCCATATGTCAGGCCCAAAACTAGGTGCTTTACATTATACAAACGTTATTTCATTTACTCCACCCAATTACCTTATGAAACAGTTACTATTATTCTCATTTTATAGTTGAGAAAGCTAAAGATCATCAAGGTTAGGTAACATCAGAACAAAGTTAATGGCAGAGCCAGGATATGAACTCAAATCTGTCTGATTATTGTACTTTAAACTAAAGGCATTTAATATTTATCAAATTTCATTCTCCATATTCTTCACTCCATGAACACCTATAATGCACAGATGTATACGGAAGCATTTTAATGTCACAGATAGCTGTTATTTAGAAAGTGTTTTAACACTTGCATACCTACCCGCATGAGATCTTGAAGACTTTCAACAAAAGAAATCTCTGCTTCTACCATATAAAATTCTGCCAGGTGTCTCCGGCTCTGAGAATTCTCTGCTCGGAATGTTGGGCCAAAGGTAAACACTTGAGTAAAAGCTCTGCAATTCAAGATTAAAAGTATAAAAATAGGATTCATGTTATTAATTTTAGGTATTTAAAACACTCAGTGTACTCTTAAAATATAAAAGGTTTTGTGCCTCTGTCTTGTCACAAATCCACACATATTAGCTGCCATATTTCTCTAATGGGTGATAATAATAGTTTCATTAAAAATGTTACAATTATAGAAACCATTTTATCCCGAAGGAATCTGCAAATGCTTTACAAACCCTATGGCTTACTAAATATAGAACCAACCACTTCTGGGTGCACTCGACTGCAGCTGCCTTAAACAGCAGGCAACTACACTTCACAGCAATCAAGAACAAAGTAAAGGAAAAATACCACAGCCCAACGAGCTTCACAGAGAATCTATACAGTAACAGTGAAAACTAGAATTTCATGTGGATGAAGTATGCTAATTATTTTTTTAAAAAGTGAAAAAAGAGTATCACATATGTATGGTGATCTGCCTTGCTCAAATCCTCCTCAAGCCATTCACAACCACCCAAGTGTTTCAATGATCGCTGAATGATCCCTGAAACTTGGGGGTGAGGACGGATTTTGAAGAACTGTCTTTGGTGTTCAAGGGAAGAGCTCTTAGCTCAATAATTCAAATAGTGGGGGAAATCTTACTTTTCAATTCCTGCAGAAAAGTGGACACTACACCTTCATTCTTTAACACTTAGAGTCTCCTTCCTGTGGAATCAGGGCAACAACTGGGATTAAATCAAACATATGAAATGCAGAGTATTTCCTGAGGACTATCTAATCTTTGAGTTTTAAGGTTTTGTTAGAATAAAACAAGAGATTTGGGGCTCCTCAGCTATTATGCTGAGCACTCTTCGTTTTACTGGCATTAGTCAAACAACATTAAGATCAGAAAATAGTGCAGAAAGTAGATTGTGCATATACATATACATATATATATATATATGCATGCACATACACATACCTGTTGGGCTTTTTTTTTTTTTTTTTTAAAGACACTCTGGGAAATGAAACAGTACGACAATTATACTGGAAACCAAGATATTTATTTTTTTCTTTCAAAAGGCTATTTTAGTTAAGGCCTAGTTGGTAAGAAGCTTAGGAATTTATGTTTTGGTTCTACAGTCACCTTCCTGAGACCATAATCAGTTAACCTCCAAGAATCTTAGTTTTTAATGGAAATATAAACAATAAGAACTCAAAAATATTACTATGGTAACCTCTCTGCTGAAATTCAGATCCAGATGTGCCTACTAGAATGTTCCTGAAAAGTGACCCTACCTTGTACAAAATGAAAACCCTTGCCCTGCTCCCAGAGTAGACAAAAACCAAAACAAGGAACAATCCTTCCTTTTGTTTTTTACTTTCCCCAGTTCTATTAATCTCAGTTACTCCACCTCATCACCCAGACCAGCTCTGCCACTGCCCACATTTCCCATATCATACTGTTTACACCTAGGAAAACTCTCTCAAATCCAGAGACTCCCTGCCCCTCCCTTTATTATTATTATTATTATTATTATTATTATTATTTTATCTGAGAAAGTGAGTGCATGCACAAGTTTGGGAGGGGGCACAAGGGGGGAGAGAGAATCCCAAGCAGGCCCATTGCTCAGTGTGGAGCCCGACACGGTGTTCAAACCCATGACCTTGGGATCATGACCTGAGCTGAAATCAAGAGCTGAATGTTTAACTGACTGAGCCACCCAGAAGCCCCCCACCCCCCAATTTTTTTTTTTTTAATCTCCACAGATACTGTTAGTGTACACTCTAGTGTATTGCTTGGGGAACTACAACAACTTTTTAAAAATTAATTAATTAAATAATTAAGAGGGAGAGAGTGCAAGCAGGGGCAGGGCAGAGAGAGAGGGAGAGAGAGAATCGCAAGCAGGCTCTGTACCGTCAGCAGAGGCTGACTCAGGCTCTAAATCACCAACTGTGAGATCATGACCTGAGCTGAAACCAAGAGTTGGGACACCTAACTGACTGAGCCACCCAGGCACCCTGAATAACAACAACTTTTTCACCGGTGTATGCCACTTGTCTTTCTTCCTCCGGCCCCAAGCTACTATGACTTCTCAAACTCACGTCTGATTATATCAGTCACAATTTAAAAATCTTCAATGCTTCCCTAGTGTTCAAATGATACAATTCAAACTCCTAACTTTGACTCACTTTCTTTCACAAAACCTTTTCTCTAGTTAGGCTGCAGAAAACGCCCTCACACAGCATGCCTGGGCAAGCCTTGAGGCCTTTGCAAGGCTGTTCCCTGCCTCTAATGACCATCACTGGCTCCTCTCTCTCCAGATGGCAAATTCCCATCTATTTTCAAGACTTGGCTCAAATGCCACTTTCTCTTTGTAACCTTACCATACATCCCCAAATTTACTGTTCCCTCCTTTATATGACTATGACATTTTGTTCATATATTACACAGAATATATCACTTTGAAATGCAATTATATATGTGTCTTTCTCTCCCAATAAACTATGAAATTTTCCAGAGCAGGAATCATGTTTTATTCATATTTACATCTCCAGTGCCTAAGATAAAACAGGTGCTCATGCTGAATGAGTACTAATGATGATGACAGGCTTCCTCAGTTATAAAGTGAAAAAGTACAGCATCCTCACAAACAGTAACATTACAAATAATGTACAGAAAAATACTCAGATATGTTTTACCGTGGCTTTTACTCAGTGCCTAAACTGTGTCAGACAATCTAGGCCTGTCCCAGATATAAATTAAAAAATTATAAGGCCCTGGGTTTCCAGTCTGTGACTACAAAATCTCTTGCCAATAGTATAGCTACATAAATGAAATGAGATTTCATCAGTGATCTTCCTGAAATACACGGAAAGCCAATGAGACTGTTTTTTAAAAGAGACATATAATTTGTATTAAGATGCTAGTTATAGAAAATAGTGGTTTATAAGAAGAACTACAAGTTCCACTCAAAAGGGCATCTGCCTCTCACATGGCAATTCTATGCAGGGTGCTCAAAGATGAGTAGCAATAGGGAATTTTAGTTTAACAACGGTTAATAACTTTCTGTAGCAACGTAGGGTAGGTGTCTCTAGTGTAAAATAACAAAGAACGTCAGGGATTTTTATTTTAATTATAATAAGGATCAGGCTCTGACTGAGGTACCCAAGAGTTAAGTATTATTCTAATAGGGTAAGTAAAAACTGATGGCCACGTGCTTCCTCTGAATTAACACAAATTTAAAATAAACTGGAAGGTATGTTAAAAAAAAAAAAACCTACCTAATTCAGCCGCTAGTCTTTAAGCAGATGAACATGTAAATCACTCAGTAATGAACATCCTATGCCAGTGCTCAGTTTTCTCTTATAAAAGTGGGGATAGCAGCACTACTATCAGCGATAGTAGCTGCCATTAGAAGTACTCCTTGTGGGCCAGGCACAAGCTGTAAGGACCTTAAAGTTAATTCCTTTATAGATAGCTCAATAAAGTATGTATTGTTACTTCTCTTCAAGCTAAGAAATGGAAGTTCAGAGAGGTTAAGAAGCTTTCCCTAAAGTCAGAGTCACAGCCTATTAAGTGTATAGGTCAGATTCAAATCCATATCTGATCCTAGTGGTCACAGCCTTTCTCATGATATGAAAATACTGATGCTCATAACTGAACAGTGACAAACTCAGAGAACTACAAAGAAAACTTCGTAATGGATCCTTCCCCACACTCTTCTCAAAGATAATTAGGGTAAGTAGTTTGATATATTTACCTACCTTATAAATAGCTTACTTGTTTTATGTGTTAAAGTTATAGCTCACTAGGATATGTTGCCTTCATGTAAGAAGAATGATAAATTTTCATCAATATTTCATAACCTTTAGCCTTTCTGGTCTTCAAATTCCTTGATGAGTGGGAGACAGGAGTAGCTTGGCATTAATCTCTAGTGTCTTTTATGACCATTTTGTTTCTAGGTCCGTATGAAATCATTCTTATTTTAATTTATGCTTACTTCTTCTTTTCTGTCATTTGCAGCAAGGCTTGGACTCATCAACATTTAAAATAAGATCTGAGAACAAGGCCACTTCTAAAAAAAGATACAAAACCAGGTGAAAGGCCAGTACTGCTGTGACAAGAGACCAGCAGAAGAAGAAAACGCTCAGTACTAAAAAGCATTCTTGTGCCAAATTATGGAGAGAGGCAAGCTATATAAGGAAAGCCCATGAACTTGGACTTGATGTTTAAGATAAAAAAAGTACAGTCAATACACATCAACCAAGTCAACTACAAAAGTGGCTTTTTTAAAAATAAAAAAACAAAGTTATCAAAAAAAAAAAAGAAGTTCTGCAACAGCCATAAATTGGTAAGTGGAATACTATAAAATGGTCACTGACTGCTTGGCCATTTATTCTTTTTAGCCCTGGAATTTAAGAGCTAATCTTCATAATTTGACAGAATAGAGAAATTATAATTCTTTAGCTGAAGAAGAACTTATTCAGCATAAGGTGGATCATCAACTTTCCCTAAGGCCCCCAATCCCAACCTCCTATCAACTTCTCTGTGCTCAGCTCAGGAAACATCCATTGAACAGCTTTCACCTAGCTTTTAAACCAGTCTCTGTCAAATGGTATTCCCATCTTTCAGAAAGTAATCATCTGTTTTACTACCACTTTGAATCTACTGGATTATCAATACTATGACATATCTGTCTTTCATTATTTCCACAGAGTGGACCCCAGGCCTCTATTTTTCAGTTTTCCTCTCTTCCTCTGACCATTCTACGATACACTTGGTGGAAGCGTGTAAGACACAGCTCTCACTATTTCAACAATTCATGTGAAGATGCCTTAGGGAGGATGCACTCTCAAATCTAAAAATTATTCTCTAGAATAGTTTAGAAATTAAACATTTCTTTAAAAAATGAATTGTCTTTAATGTGAGCTAAATATCTGATTTAGTACTAAGTTTGAGGCCCAAACAAAATTTAATCTTAAATGTATAATGAGATTCAAAGATGAACAGAATCTGACAACA